TACGCGCTCGTTTACTCGATTTTCGTGTTTGTTTTGTTTCTGTTCAACTCGTAAATGCAATTCTAATTCAATAATAAATTGTTATTACGTACATTCTTATCATTCCCGTTATCAATAGTCTCGTGTATACTTGTCAAACGGTGACCGATTGTAATAGTCGATCCGTTGCATAGATGACGGACGTTTATAAGTACGGTTTGGCGGAGTAAAACCTACGCTGAAAAATGCAAAATTATTCGCCTCGCCCCGTGTCACCCCATCTCCTGTCACCGCGATATAATGACTATCGATTTGTACATTTTAATTTTTACACAAACACGACTATTCTGTACAGAATAATATAAAAAGTGTTTTGACACTGTTAGGTGCCTATTGATTTTATTCCGTGCTTCCGGTGGAAAAAAAAATTATATAAAATCGTTGCGGCCTCGTTCAAAATAAAATATTATATATTCTATTTCGGCTTAATATTCTGTAAAGAGAATGTGAAACTCGCCCGGACAAAAAAAATAAAAAACAATCGTGCGATGCACGTCCGTTTGTATTTTATTATAGTTATTATTATTATTATTATTTTTTTTTATTTTTTTTGTAGGATTTAGGCGGATAATATAAAATTTGCGAGAAAGTCGATTTCAAGTGACTAGACGAAAAATTTGTTTTCAGAATTACTATTGTTTCACCGGACCAAACGGTTGGAAATGGAACGCGTCTATATTCTTATGTCGCACGTGTATGTAATGCGAAAAGACATATTTATGGCTTCCGATCCCCTGGAACTTTATATTGTAACAAATTGTTGTTTTTATATTATTTTTCATGTGTGTATGTGCGCATTTAATGAAGCTAGAAAATAATTGAATTGGTTCTACTATGTGTACTTGTACGCGATTTTCTTAATTTCTTAATGAAAACAATAACATGGGTAGTAAGATTTTACAAACAAGAAATAGGTATCTAGGTTACAAAATAAAAATGCTGAATCTCATTTCGTCCCGCTCCCATTGGAAAGGATTGAATTGGATTATTATCGGAACACAGTGATTTGAAATTCAATATTGAATGGAAAAAAAAATACGCATTTTAAAATGCTATAAAATGTCTATGGTGTGATCAATCCTCGACAAGACTCTTGTTTTCGGAAAGTATTGACTAATTCGGACATTTAAAGGAACAAACAGTTTGATAATGTAACGCTCGTTTTTTGTCGCCCTTATTTCCAAGAGTGAAATCGCAACGCATACTTTTAATTTTTAATTCTAAAATTTACTACATTAAAAATTCCACAAATAGATAAAGATTTTATTTAAATAAATTTCAGTGTTGAATTGTCGATTCTCGTCTATTCGTTGACGAGATCACAATGCACATTTACATTCGAAACCGCTAAAATGAATATTCTAACGGTTAAACTTGATAGAATTTTCAATATATTGATTGCTATTTGAAAATCAAGAACAGATCATCCCCGGAAATAACGGAGATAAAAAAAATAACGGTAACGTAACATTTTAAGGTGCCCATCATACACGATTAATTTAACTGTGCAGTTTATCACGTTTAACGTCACGTCTGTACGATAAACTGAGGAAACTGTGCAGTTCTGTCAGATTTTTACGTAAGATTTTGGCCTGTGCGAGACACTCTACTTTGCACCAATAAACTGCGCAGTTAATTTTACTTAATCGGACAGTTGGTACAGTCTTGTCTAGTCATTTGTAGCTACGCAAGTCAGATCGTTGCTGTATTATTTACTATTTACTACTGACTAACTGTTGTCACCACCGTGACGAAAAAAAAATATCAACTTTTGAAATTATTTTTCAACGAGGGGAGCAACTTTCCTCTAGAGCACTTAAAAAATGTTGTCATCCATTCGAAGGCAATTACTGAAATCGGAAATTTCCCCATCCTTCTTTCAACTCGTTTAGCAAATGATAACCGCCGGGCAAAACACTTCGTTATAAGAACCAATTCTTTCTCCGGCGTCCACGGCGCCTATTCTTCCGCTTAACTTCTCGTTCAAGCAGAGCTACAGCAATTACACACGACGCTGCTGTTCTATGTTTTGGGGTCATTCATTTTCGTAAACACACAAGCACATTGCCTATAGTCTGTGAATACAACGCATAAAAAAACCGAAACAACTGCGAACATAGCTGAGGGGAAAACTGAAGTAGCCTGCACACCTCCGGTTTCAGATGGCTGAACAATATTTGACACAGTCAAACTGATTGTGTGCGGGCCCCGAAGTCGAGGCGCTCGGACGTTAGATTTCCCAAAAACGCGTCGTAATCCAAAAAAATAGTCGGTTCACTCGCGTTACGTCGATCGCACGGTAAAACCGGCAATCGTTTGGAAAAATAACGCGCACTGCGATACGCCGCAATTTAAAATACTCTACACGGCTGAGAGAGACCGACAGTGTCCGTTTCGGACCGACACGTCCATTGCACGTCATACGACGCGACGGGTTAGAAGCGTAATCCTCGTGGGTTTCCGGCGGAGGACGGAGTAATCCGGAGAGGCCTCGGCATTATCGCGGGAGGCCGGCCAAACGACAAAAACCCGGCGGTCCGCGAGTTACATGCATAGGTATAGGTATTGTATTTCCGGGGTCAGGCGAAAAAAAATAAAAAAAAAAAAAACAATACGTCGAACCCCGAATCGTTTACCGTTTCGATCCGGAAACGCGTCCGGGTCAAAACAAGCCGTGGTGCGGGGGACTGAAAAAAAAAACCGGACGTTTTCCGTCCCCGAGCTACGAACAAATCAACCGGGAGACGGTCGATCGCCGGGACCGTTTGGCACCGGCACCCGTTCCCCACTATATTATGGGAGTGGGTATTTCGCGGATTACGATTTGTATTCGCACAGCGCAATGGCCGCGTCACATTTCGCCCAAACGCGACCTTTACCGTTCCGTCCAAATGGATTTTAGCCGCATTAAAATTGAAGTCGGCAACGGCTACGGCATAAGAAATTATTTAAAATACAAATCATTATTTTTTAAAATGTCTACACGTGCTGTTTTACAAACTCACACGTAGGTTATAAAAAGCAAGTAAGCGTATGCCTACCTACGTTTTACATTACATTCTTGTCTTACGTTCGCTTTGTCGTCTTGTGTGTCTATGGGAATTTCCACGCTTCACCACATTTGTCTAAAATAATAATTTGCGACACACATTTTTAAATAGTATTCTATGTGTTTCAACCATCGTTAACGATTGCCAACTGAATTTTAAAATGTGTTTGGGCAAAACGGCTCCTGCTCATTATAATATACATAAAGCGTTTATATACAGAGTGGTTCACTAAGGGTGCACGTTCAAATTTTTTTATTAAATTTTGCATAAGTTCAAATTCTGATTTTTGGAATGTTTAAGTGTAGTTAAAGCCGATATTTTCGAATACGTAGGTTTTTCTCGGCATTTAAGGAGCATCCTGCGGCGATACCGAGTTTGGTTTTAAAAATAAGAAACTATACTAAAAAGGCCATAAATTTAGATAGAAAATCACTTTAAGTAAATGTTAGTGTTGAAATGTTTGATTTGCTTCAAACCGTTGACGAGATATTTCACTTTTAAGTTTAGGTAGTAGGAGAATATAGTAGAATATCATTTGTGTGGCAGCACGCCATGCAGATTTTTATAAATGCTCCTAAATAGGCTCCCAAAAGACATGTATACCGTATAACTTCATTCGACAGCTCTTTTTTATCTTTTTAATAAACACAACATGAATTTTTGTTCGGAATTATAATGTTTTGCGAATCGGACATTCTATTTGAATTTGGAAACGTGATCAATTTCAAAAAATAGCACAATAATAATGACGCTATCGAATTAAAATAATCGTATTGATTAGGCGCAATAGTTCGTGTAGGTATATAAAAAAAACGGAACTCGATGTGTTGCTCACCTTTTATCAAGACAATATGTAATAACCAAAAAATGGCATCTAACACCTATGAAATCCTGTGAACAGCGGTGAACTATTGTCTACCGGAAATTGTGCTTCGATCATCAAGATTTCAAACCTCAGGTTTTATAACCAGAAGTAATTATGGATTCGTGCGACCATCCGCTCGATGAGGTGTGCGCCTACCCAGCGGTGCGGAAGATATCTCAAACTTCTAGATTGGTACCAATACTCGATACTAGACAGGTACGCGGATTTACAGCGTCTAGATACAAGATACAAGGTACCTAAGTACTTATGTACCTAACACACGTATTGCAATACAAGATACCGGATATTTGGATTTTACGTAATTTAAAGTCGATTAAAATTTTCAGGTATATGTCATTATTATAGATGCGGTGATTATTTTTTTATTTGAATAATTGTTTTAACGATCAAGCAACAATCGTTAGAAATCTCGAAAAATCAGGAACCGGGGGGGGGGGGAGGAATGTTCACCGCGTACAATCAGTTTCAGTTTTTAATACGTTTTCCGAGAAGTCAGAGGGGATAACGGCACAGTTATGACCCAATATTTCGACGCGCGTTCCGGCGCAGAGATGGACTTTTCGGGTGTACTTCGGAAGCCTGCGAACGGTTTGATAACAATGCATTATGCAGACGCACACACATACACCACGGATCTTTTTAGTATTTTGACAGCGACAAATGTACCGTGAAAACCACTCTCATTGAACGCCCGGACGAGGTGTGGACGTACTTTCCGCCCCTCCGTCTTCGTCGTCGCTTTGTGACGCTGTCTTGGGGGAAAAAAAAAAAAACTATAAGCAGACACGGTGTGTATATACGTTAAAAAATTGGAACATTTTTATTTTTATTTTTTTTTTTCGTATATATACGCATTTTGTTTTATGAAATATTTTATGCAGACATTTCCTTCTCCTTTTTATTTTTTTTTTTTTATTCACGGCAATCTCTCCGGAGGTAGTATAGGAATATAAAAAGAAGAGAGAGAGAGCAAGAGAGAGAACAATACAAAACACTTAACAATCATTTTTTTTTTTTTTTTTTTGGTTTTTCGTTTACTCAAAAAAAAAAAATATATATATAAACATATATATTATATAAGTATGTATACATGTGTATATATATATATATATACATATATTATAATGTATATATATAATTCTTCAGCGAAATGTACACAATAAACAAAATACATAATCAAATAAAATAACAAATAATTTGAACTTAAACGTAATAAAATAATATTAAAACGTACCAATAATCGCATTAATTATTAATAATAATTAAATTACACCTACGCGTAAAGTATTGTGTTAAGTCAAAAGTTATATAGGAATTATTTTTTTTTTATTATTATTATTTTTTTTTTTTTTTTGTTTTTCAATATTATCCTTCGTTTTTAAACTTGATTCTATATTTATATATTTTTTTATTTTTATACTAAATTTATTTCGTTTACCTTAAATACAAATTTCGTACTACAACATAATGTCTACTAAAAATATTGACTAATTTATTGGTTTTTTTTTTTTTTTGTTTTTTTTTATAAATAAAATTATCACAACGAATTACGTTTGGATACAAACGATAATAATAATAAATAATATTGGATGTTTCTACGGCGAAAAATTCTCTAACGAAACGATAAATAATAAAAAAAAATAAATACAATGTAAGCGACCAATCTCCCCCGGTCGGCGCGAACTCGTGCTGGAAACATATTGCACGCGTCCTGGAGGCGAAACAGATTCGCGATTTTGTCTGGCCGGAAAAAAAAAATAAAAATGTTTGTTACTCCGAGTGTATATTTGCATTTTCGTCATTCATTGTTCGAATTTTTTGGAATGTTCGAAATGATTTTGTCTACATCCAATCACAAAAAGGAAACACGGCGGACGGTGACCGACGGGACAGGCGTAGCAATAACGGAACAACATTCGAGTATATTATTGTTGCGCGAAAGCCGGGCGACTCCCGGCTGTCCCGTGGCAACGAGCGGTCGCCGTACAGAGCGCCGTCGGGCGGGAACGATAAAAAAAAAATAAAAAAAAAAACCCCCCCGAACGGCCGGAGAAAAACGCGAAGTGATCATCAGCAACGAACAATTGGCGGAACGGTGGGGAGGAAAGGAAAAAAAACAACGACCCGATGCGCGGTGCGCGAGGGAGCGCGGAGTAGAAGGAAACGGGGGCGAGGAGAAAGTGTTCAGCGACACCGTGCGGGTACCGGTTTCGCGGTCGGAGTGGCTAGGGGGCGCGCCGAGGGAGACGGCGGCAGAAGACCGTTTTGTGCGCGAAAACGATGGCGGGTAAACGACGTTGTCGATAACGGCGGCATTGACGTCGACGTTGAAAATAACGGTTCCGGGGCGAGGGTCGTGGAAAAACGGAAAAACAGAGTAAAAAAAAAAAAAAAAAAAAAAAACACATACAAAAACCGATAACGTCACCACGGCGGGGCACTAGGCGTGCCGTTTCGCGAGGAGCCCTCCGAAGCGGGCGTTTGTTACGCGGCTCGGTATTGGCACGGCGGTACCGGACCGGTTTATCGTCGCGCACCGGGCGTATTTTTTCGTCGTTTTTCGGGGGTGGGGTGGGGTAAAACAATAATAATAATAATAATAATAATAATAATAGTAATGTAATAATTAATAATTCGACTTGGCGCGTACGCACGACCGTAATATTATACATAATGCGATTAACAATATTAGTGTAAAATACAATTATAATAAATAGGCTTTGTTGTATTTCCGTTAAAAAAAAAAAATAATAATTATAATAATAATAATAATAATAATAATAATAATTATAAATCGACAGTTTAATATAAACAAAGACGTATCCGCGCGATGTGCGTGCGTCGCGACAATATGCAATTAATAATATATGTACAAGAGTCGAGTAGTGGTGTAGATGGCGGCGCGTACGCTTGAAAAACGAACGAAAATCCGTGTGCGAACGATAGTATCCCCCCTCCCCCAATCACCCAAACACCCC